TTTGCACATACCTTTTGACTTCTTCCTACTTGTGGCTCAGATCTTGTGAACAGGCATGAGGCTTCAAGGGTAAGGGGCTTGCCCAAAGGCACAGCTGGTAAGGAGCAGAGTCAGATTTCAGCTGAGGGGAGATTGGGATCTATTATTTTCTCCCCCATTTCACAAAGGACGGGAGGAAACAGGCCAAGAAGGTTGCATGAATAACCCTTCTATCCAGTAAGCCCAGCTTGGCACTCTGCACATGGTTGGTGCTGAACTTCTAAAAATTCCTATTCAGGCCCTGTCTGTTGACTGAATATTTAAATGTTACTCAACTCCTCAGAATCCTTGAGTACCTGGGTTCTTGACTACACTCGTGCAGGTGACAGGAGATTTGCCTGTGATCCAGCCAGATGCTATAGGAAGATATAAGAGAATAATTGGGGAAATGAGTGAAGTGCAGAATGAGTGGGGCAGAGGCTCTCTGTAAATTCGGGGTTCCAGCAGGGTGGCTTGTGGACACATGACCTACCCTGACAGCCAATGACAACCTTGGGGAAAGGAAGTATGACATCCACTTAGTGCTGCGTGGCATTAGGGTTTCCATTAGCACACCTGGGCTCAAATCCTAGCTCTGCCAATCACTAATTATGCAACCTGCTTGGGTCACTTCTTCTCTCCACGTCCTGCTTTCTTCATTCATAAAATGGGGTTGATAGTATTACTGCTCACACCAAATTGACAGGTGAGTTAAATAGGGTACCATTTATTTTATAGATGGCACATAAGGGACCATTAATGCATTTTTCCCCATGTTCTCTCTTTGCTAAACTCTGTTCTTGATACTGATCAATAAATGGAAAATAATGTTTTCTTCTAATGACTTCTTAGTATTGGGTGCTGTCATCAATTTTGCATGGCAAACAACAAAGCCTGACTTAGATTCATTCAACACAGAGAAACACTGGACATACAGAACCAGCTGTGATCCTGTCTCTTCCCCGCACCACTGACTGAATGGGTTTCCCTAAAGACTCACTTCTCAATTCTGATCCACAGATCACTCCTCACGTCACCTCTCCTGAGTGGGAACTTTGTAAAATGCTGCCAAAGTATGAGTGGGTTTTACGACTAGATCGCAAAGAATGGGAAACCAGTGAGCTGAGAAACTCACAACATGGTGGATTGCTGACATTCTCTGCATGGCAGCTGAATACACTTCCCTAGGAGGATCTCAGAGTGCCACATAGCCCTTGATTGAGATGGCCACCTTGTCTAGCCTCATCTTGGTTTCGGTACTTTTTGCAGATCTAGCATCTCTGGTCTGAGAGTGTGATAAATGAGCTCTCTGACTAGTCATCCACACTCTCTCTGAAGAGTGTTTGTATATTATTTATGCACGTTGACAAAGACAATCCATTTGCTTGACTGCAAACAGTGGGATTTCAAACCAATTTTCCTTAACATTTGCATGGTCTTAGTATATTCTTTAGTCATCAAAATGCATGTGTTACAGATGTTTATCTCTAAGTCACGAGGTTCTGTGTTTTACTCATAGCACTGTACTTGTCCACACTAATATTTTATTTTGGGAACACTACCAAAAGACAGATTTGATGTAAAGACAGCCAGAAGGTCTCTGGTGTCTTTTAATTAGGTGCTGTCATGTCATGTCATCAGGTAACAGCCGTCAAAACCATTCACTGATACCTATTCTGAGATGAATCAGGTGAAATCCTCTCCTTTAAGGAATTCTTTATCTTTCAGGGATAGGACAGAACAGGAACAGGTCACTGATTTTAACATAGAGTGATTAGTGCTCTAAAAACAGCTGTGAGGCAAGCTCTAGGCATTTAGCATTGAGAGAGGATTGGTTCTACATGCTCAGTATTTTGGCACGAGAAGAAGATATAAAGAAAATGAATAGCTACATGTAAATGTAAAATTGACAGAGTTGCATCATAGGAATATAGTTAACACCTGCATAAAAGGTTTATATATATTTTATTAAGGAGGTATAAAAGCATAATTCATAAGAACAATACAAAAATACAGTTCATGTCATAAAATGAAATCCAAATAAAGAGAATTAAAAAGCAAATGGGAAAACATTCTAGCCCACTAGTATTATAAAACTGTTGAACAATGATGCTTGAACATTTTAGCTTATTAAATTAGCAGTTAAATAGACATTTTAGCCTATTAAATAAAATATTGATTTTATATGCTTTGTGTCACTACATTTATTCTCTGAAATCAATCCTAAAAATGTTTATATAAAGGTTTAAAAAATTATATCCAACAATATGAACACACATTTTTCTCCAGGTACTAACCTATTTCTCTTTTTCCCTTCACAGATAAACTTCTCAAAAGAAGTTTCTATCCACTTTGTTCCCAATACCTTTTTCCTTATTTATCCTTAGTCAATTTACTCCAATCTGGATTCTGCAGAATTAATTCTGTCAAGCCAGTCCTCCCTTTCCCTTAATGTAAGACATTTCTTCCCCGAAACACCCTCTTATCATTTCCTCCTGGTTGCCCTTCTATTGTGCTATTACTATCATTCCATTCCAATGCCTTTTTCAGGTTCCTACTTCTCTTCCCTACATTAAGATGTGAAGGTCCCCAAGATTCAGTTTTTAGTCACCTTCTCATTCTCTATTTCTTCCAGGCCTCATTCATTCCTAGGCATTTGGGGACCAGATGTATCCCAGCCCTCGAATTAACACCTACAGCCATAGCACTCTGTAAATTCCAGAATTGTACATCTAATTGCCAAGGCTTAGAGTCCTCCAATTTCTGGTCATAAAGCCACTTTTCTTTTGTCTATGGTGTTAGCTTATAATGCAGTTGAAATTAATTATTTTATTAATTAATACATTTATGTTTTTTTCCAGCAAAAAGGAAAGTTCCAAGAGAGCTGAAGCTGTGTTTTCTTTATTCACTTTTTTATCCTGATGATAGTCACATATCAATTGTTATATATAGCTTGAACTAGATGAATGAATGAACTGCCATTCTTCCCTTGAGGTTGCAAAATCAGCCTTGGTATTGATTTATTAAGAATAAACAAATGCAAAAAGACCTGAAAGTAAAACTTTAAATAATAAAGAAAATAATTTAAAAATATAAAGGTGAACACTTTCTACATAATTAGCACAATGCAAAGGGGAATATATCATACAAACAAAAATACTGAAATACAATAAATGTAGTAGAACTGATAGTTAAGTACATAAGTAAATTAATAATGTCATCTATGATGGGCTAATGTTCCTAACAACTGGATTCTTTAACATATAGTTGCTTAACATTACCAACAAGAGTTGTGACAAAATTGATTCAATTTATTTCATGATGAAGGCAGGAAAAAAATAGTCTTTTGAAATCACTAAACATGAGGGAGTATGATTAAGAATATCTGTCCATAATAATCATTTCATCAAGAGCACAGGTCTGTTCCTTAGCTATTAATCTTACTTGCAAGTTTGATGACAAACAGAAGGACATCATGATTTCTTGCTCTGACTTTCCAAGCACAGTGGCTCTATTCTTTCTTTTCCAGATAGTGACTGATTCCTTGGAAGTACCTCTTCACTGCCAGTATGGACTTGTCACTGCTCAGGGAGTCCCTCTAACCCCAATTCCTGCACCAAGCAAGTCTCCAGGATTTCCCAATGCTGATAAAGTCCAGTGAAGAATTTCTCCAGGCCAGTCTCATTGCAATCAATTTCTTGTGTTGAACAGGTTGACAATCTGCTGAAGCACCTCATGGAGGACCATCCATCAGAAACAACAGAAAAAAACTGAAAACATTAAATGTCTATCAGTAGGGGACTGGTTAAATAATTTATGACACAACCACTCAGTGGGCAACAATTGTTTAAAAATATAAAGAAGCTCTGTATATATTAATTCAAGAAGATCTCGAAATGAAAAAAGAAAGATGCAGAACAGTGCATATGGTATGCTATCTTTTTATATAAAAATGGGATGAGTGCAATAAAAGAATATAACTATATTTTTAGCTTGCATATGGAACTCTGGAAGGATTTAAAAGACAATAGTAACTTCAAACTTTGGAAAATATTGGAAAAAATTGTGTCAAAGTATATATTTATTTATATGTCAGAATTTATATTTACTAGTAATCACAGAAATGCAAGTTAATGAAATACCCTATAAAGGGAAAAATCAGCAGAGGGCAAATACACGAACATTGTTGGTGACAATATTTTGGAAATATTGTCTTGAATCAGTATCTACCAAACATTACCCAAAACGGAGTAGTTTTGTGCCCAGATTCTGTAAGTTTATTACAGATTCTATAAAACAATGGAGGACAAGAAGGTATATATTTAGGAATAATGGGCAAACTATCATCTATATTATTATTGAAAAATGTGCATTTAAAAAATTGCAGAAAACAAAGGCATGAAAAAATTATTTATGATAGCACTGCACCGTGAGCCAAAAATTCAGAATATACCATTTACATAGCACAGTCACTATTTGGTAGTGAGACAAATCCTGTGTGTTTTGAATATAAAATATGAACCAAAATTGTAACTGGGGTGTTTATTCAATTGTGGGATAAAAATTAAGTGCTTTATACAGAAAAAAATTAATCATCCCCCCCCATGTGTCTTCTGCCAGGTTTCCTCACAATTTACACAAAAGCTGCATTTGATTGTTATTCAAAAGACAAGCCAGGAAGTGTAAACCTTTAAAAAAAAAAAAAAGTACCCATTTTGGGGAAGGAAGAGGTCAGATATTGAGAAAAATTTAACACCAAAAGTGCAGGATAATATACGTGTACTCATTCTACCTTATTTAGTCCCACAAACACCGTGACTCGAAGAGACCCAGCTGTCACCCGCTCCCGACAACTCCGCTTCCGCAATCAGCGCCCTGTCCGCCTCCAGCGCACTTCCTCCCCCTCCCGTCGCCCCTCCCCCACGCGCCCGCCCACTGACGAGCGCTGGACGCCGCGCAGCCGCAGTAGCTACCGTGGCCTCTCCTAGCCCGAGGGATCCTGGGACTAGGCCTTTCAGGGAGGACCGGCTCGGCGTCTCGGGCTAGGCCAATGTTCTAGGCCCAGGCCCAGGCCCGTGTTCCAGGCCCTTGCTCGAAGACAGGCTGGTGGCCGCCGCGACGCTCTAGTGACGGCGGAGGGTGCAGCGGGCCGCTCGCTGAGGTGCCCGGACTCGCCACCGAGCGAGCCGCGGAGCCGCAGTACGTGGCGGCGCCCCCCTCCTTGGCCCGAAGCGGAACTGCTGAAGGAGCGGCATCGCTGGCCGGCCGGACGAGGTGAACCGGGTCATTTAACTGCCTTTAGGTGATGAATCATCTGCATTATCATCAGATTTGAGGTCCACAGCCATTTGTGGTCCTTCTACGGGACAATTTTCAGTGGCTGACTGACTGGTGTGTCCTTAGGGGTGCCACAGTGACTGCCCTTGATAAGGAACCCGAGCTCTCCTGCTCTTTGGACATCTCCTTTCTTGTAAAACATTCGGGTTATAACCTCTTTCTGCGGCTTACATCTCTGCAAGAGGAAAGCTTTCACATGAAAGTGTCTCTTGGTAACGGCGAAATGGGCGTCTCTGCCCATTTGCAGCCTTGCAAGACAGGAACCACACGCTTTTTTACCAGCAATACTCACAGTTCGGTGGTATTGCAAGGCTTTGATCAGCTTAGAATAGAAGGATTGCTTTGTGATGTGACCCTGGTACCTGGTGATGGAGATGAAATCTTCCCTGTTCACAGAGCTATGATGGCATCTGCTAGTGATTATTTCAAGGCTATGTTCACAGGGGGAATGAAAGAACAAGATTTAATGTGCATTAAGCTTCATGGAGTGAACAAAGTTGGTCTGAAGAAAATCATTGATTTTATTTATACTGCAAAACTTTCTCTTAATATGGACAATCTTCAGGACACCCTTGAAGCTGCCAGCTTTTTACAGATTTTACCTGTGTTGGACTTCTGTAAAGTATTTCTTATATCAGGAGTCTCTTTGGATAACTGTGTTGAGGTTGGACGAATTGCTAACACTTACAATCTTATAGAAGTGGATAAATATGTGAATAATTTCATCTTGAAGAACTTTCCGGCTTTACTGAGTACTGGGGAGTTTCTAAAACTTCCTTTTGAACGTCTTGCCTTTGTGCTTTCCAGTAATAGTCTTAAGCACTGTACTGAACTTGAACTCTTCAAGGCAGCCTGTCGTTGGCTAAGGTTGGAAGACCCTCGGATGGATTATGCTGCAAAATTAATGAAGAATATTCGATTTCCACTGATGACACCACAGGACCTCATCAATTATGTGCAGACAGTAGATTTCATGAGAACAGACAACACCTGTGTGAATTTGCTTTTGGAAGCTAGCAATTACCAAATGATGCCATATATGCAGCCAGTGATGCAGTCAGATAGAACTGCCATTCGATCTGACTCTACTCACTTGGTAACCTTAGGAGGAGTTTTGAGGCAGCAGCTGGTTGTCAGTAAAGAATTACGGATGTATGATGAAAGAGCACAAGAGTGGAGATCTTTAGCCCCTATGGATGCTCCCCGTTACCAGCATGGCATTGCTGTCATAGGAAACTTTCTTTATGTAGTTGGTGGTCAAAGTAATTATGATACGAAAGGAAAAACTGCAGTTGATACAGTTTTCAGATTTGATCCTCGGTATAATAAATGGATGCAGGTTGCATCATTAAATGAAAAGCGCACATTCTTCCACCTGAGTGCCCTCAAAGGACATTTGTATGCAGTTGGTGGGCGCAGTGCAGCTGGTGAACTGGCCACAGTTGAATGTTACAACCCAAGAATGAATGAGTGGAGCTATGTTGCAAAAATGAGTGAACCCCACTATGGCCATGCTGGAACAGTGTATGGAGGCTTAATGTATATTTCAGGAGGAATTACCCATGACACTTTCCAAAATGAGCTCATGTGTTTTGACCCAGATACAGACAAATGGACACAGAAGGCTCCAATGACTACAGTGAGAGGTCTGCATTGCATGTGCACAGTTGGAGATAAGCTCTATGTCATTGGTGGCAATCACTTCAGAGGAACAAGTGATTATGATGATGTTCTAAGCTGTGAATACTATTCACCAACCCTTGACCAGTGGACACCAATTGCTGCCATGTTAAGAGGTCAGAGTGATGTTGGAGTTGCTGTCTTTGAAAATAAAATCTACGTTGTTGGTGGATATTCTTGGAATAATCGTTGTATGGTAGAAATTGTCCAGAAATATGATCCGGAAAAAGATGAGTGGCATAAAGTCTTCGACCTTCCAGAGTCACTTGGTGGCATTCGAGCTTGTACCCTTACAGTTTTTCCACCTGAAGAAAACCCTGGATCACCTTCTAGAGAATCACCTCTTTCTGCACCTTCAGATCATTCTTAGGTCTAAGATGTATACCTTTGTAGTACATCATGGGTGATCTCATACTTCTTCAGTCGTATCTTCTTACAGTGAATGGTACAGTTATTAGATAAAAAGGTAACTGATGTTATTTGTCTTGTTTGGCTTAGTATGTTTATCAGATGGTTAACAAATGTATTCTGAAAATGTATTCAACTTAGCTAGCTGTTTTAACAAATGAAAAAAGATGTAGAAAATGTTTAGATGTCTTTTTGTGGTGTTATATAAGTCAAACTGTAGGTGACTGTAGTAAATATATAATTTTGTTCATTGTGCTTCAAAGTTGAAAGTTTTCATATTTGACAGCAAAACATCAAAGGGAGGCCACCTGCTCTAACCTAAAATAATAAACAAATGGTCGCCAAGTACTATTAGCTACCTCCCTCTTTTCATAGTTTCTGACATACCTGTCAACTAATTAGATTGTGTGGTTGCATTCAGAATATGTGAAGTTTCTTAGGCAGATAGGAGAAATAATATTAACTAGAAAAAACATTGTAGAACTAAGTCAGGTTTTGGTATCTCTCTAGAGAGAGAAAGAGAAAGAAGAAAGAAAATATACACACATAATACAAATACACATGCACACACATACATACTTATGTATATTCGTACACACACACATAATTTTTAAATTGGCACTTCAACTATGGTGAAATTGTTTTCAAATTTAAATTGTTTTCTTCTACAAAGCAGCTATTTCTATTCAAATGGGAATTCAATGCCAGAGAATAAATATCTATATAGTCATACTGAATTTAGATAGATAAGGGCTACAGCATATTAAATTAACAACCAAATTTGTCATTTGGCTAAATTGTTACTTCAGATGAAACTTACATTACTTTTTCTGCTTGTGTATTCTGTAGAGTTGCTTTTACACCGATTAGCCAAGTTCAGGTTTCAGAGAATTGCTTTTGCTCAGTAAATTTAGGCTCTGCTTTTTTCATCTTTTTCAGTAAAATTTATGATATGAAAAAAGCAAAGAAAAATATTCTGAACAAAGCTAGAAAATTTTAAGTTCAGTTTCCCAACTTAGTCATCCTAACATGAGTATTTTGTGATTTGGGGTGATTGCCCTGGTGCTGCTCCAGACCATGTGCATCCTGAGCTGTGTGATCTGCCTCAAGATTATGATTCCCAGCACGCAGGAGATACACTCTCTTCTGCATCAAGTCAGAAAAATGTCCATTTGGCCATGTCTCAAGGACAGGACCAATTTCAGATTCCCTAAGAAGCCAGCTACAGAAAGCCTAGAACACTGTTGTCTTACAGGCAGTACTTAAGTAGATCTTCAGGCTCTTTGATACAGAGGGTATTGCTACTGGTTGAGAACCACATGGGGAGCTTTAATGGGACCTTATCAGCAAATGGAATTATAGGTGTCCTCTGTAATGAGTGATTCTAAAGAGGTACTTTCCTGGAATAATTGTCTACCTGAAGAAAAAATGTTATGTATACATATATATGTATATATATCTATATACCTGGGAGATTGTGAGAGTGTAAATCAGGAAGAATTTTCTCTTTATTGACAATCCCATAATAAAACTCAGGAACCAAAGCAAAAGGAATTGGCTTCTAGGGATCTGGACCTTACTGCCCATACAAGTGTTGATTCATTTTAATGCTTTTTATGATTTCTGCATTGGCAGAAATTTTCATACTTTCTGTGTTTTTTTAATGACTCAGTTTTTTATTACTAAAAATAGCATATTTGAGTACATTTAGAAAAAGTAGAAATTACTGTTAAACTTTGTTGTATTAATAGCAAGAAATGACATCCCAGTCCTTTCCTTGAATATTAATAAGGTTGAATATTTGTGTATTAATATTTTGGGTAGCTGTATTTCCTCTTTGATCAACTGTTCATGTCCTTTGCCCTTGTGATACCTGTTGAAGTTGCTTTGTTTTTCATATCAAGTTATAGAACTCTTTATATAATAAATATAATTTAACTGGCATTTGTTTGCATTGATTGTTCTTCCTCAATCTATTATAGTTTTATAAGGCACGGCCAGTCAGTTAATTTTTCACATCGTATTTGTCTGTCTTTTTGCATTTTGACTTTTTAGGGATAATTTTGTTGTGGTTTCTTTATTTTTTATGTAGTATTGATGTATTACTTTTTCAGTGCTAATTCTTACATGCCAAGGTGGTAGAGCCCTGCTTGTTTTCTATTCTGTGTGTCTTTTTTTTTTCCTCTTGTTGAAAAAACGGTTTCTGCCTCCTACTATGTCTGACCCTGGTGCTTTGTAATAACTTAAGTATTGCTTAACCTGGAAAACTAACTGCTAGCATCTATATTCCTTACCTCCAGCCTCACACACCCAACTTCTCATCCTTTTACTGTCCCATTTTCTGCAGTTGACAGCTCTCTTGGCAATCGTACAAATAGCTGATGCTATTACAGGTTGATCACCCCTTATCTTAATCCAAAATGCTCCAAAATCCAAAACTATTTGAAGGCTGACATGATGCCACATGTGGAAAATTCCACAGCTGACCCCATATGACTGGGTTGCAGTCAAAACACAGTTAAAACTTTGTTTCATGCACAAAATTATTAAAACTGTTGTATGAAATTACCTTCAGGCTATGTATATAAGGTATATATGTAATATAAATGAATTCTGTGTTTAGACTTGGGTCCCATCCCTAAGATATCTCACACTTATGCAAATATTCCAAAATCCTAAATAATCTGAAATCTGAAACATTTCTGGTCCCAAACATTTTGGATAAGGGATACTCAACCTGTACTGCTACTTAAACCTGGAATTCCTTCCTTATAGAGATGGAAGTTTTAGGTGGCTTTGAAATGATTGACTGGAAAGAGATTTATTTTCATAAGCTGGTAATTTTTTAGAGAAAAATCAGACTGTGGAAAAATATTTAAAGAAGAGGATAAAAGCTACAAGCATATAAAGCATTCTGTTAACATTTCTTTTTGTTTTTCTGATAAGTATTCAAAAATTAACATTTGTTAGCTTTTCTGATATAAAAATGTCTATTATAGAAAGTACAAGAAAATAAAAGTAAACAAAAATTATCAATGATTCCATATGCCAAAGATTACTTCTGTTATACATACATATGTATGTACAAACATTTGTCGAATATTTTTCAAACAGGGCAGACCCTAAGCTAAAAGCTAGATGATAAAAAAACAAGTCCAACTTCTAAAGACACAGACTTCTATCACTATGACTTCTCAGTTTTTAAAATCTTGTATATATTCAAAAACCATATGTAAGGTGTTTTTCCTAATTATCAAGTGCATGTGCATTAAGAAAAACAGATTTCATTTGTATTCAGACAAATCCAGATGTAATTTTTCCCATTTGCTAGTGTTTATATAGTTTACTTGCAAAGCAAACACACTGAATCATGTTCAAATTTTTGTAATTAAAATTATTTCATTATTATAAAGGCAAAATATGCTCCTACAGAACATTTTTAAACTATTAATACATAAGTGTACCATAAAGAGAATTAAAACCAATGTCCCATCCCCAGCTTAACTGATTATTAACAACTGCTGAAAGACCTTCGGATAAGTTTACCTTTCTAAGCTTCAGTTTCCCCATTTATTTATGAGGTTGGGTGTGGTCGTTAATAATTCTATCTACATCAGAGGTATAAAGAGATAATATTATCAAGTGATTAGCATAAGACATGCACAGAGAAGCATTCAGTAAATGATAGTTGTTACTAATAAAGTTAGCATAATTTTTGGCTTTAGTTTCATCTTAATGATTTTAAGGTTATTATTTTTTGAAAGTATCAAGTATCTGTACAATATTTCATTTCATGAACATGCCGTATTTTTTCCATTTCCCTATGTTTAGATACTTAAATATCTACCACAAGTTTCACCGTTATCAATAAAGCAAGATTTAGTATTCTTACATAAAACTTGGCCCATATTTACTACCCTGTGGTAAATGCTAAGTAAAATCTGAATCAAATCGTGTAAGCTCTTTTAGGCTCTTAAAAAATAAAAAATATTTCCAGGAGTATGCCAATATACATTTCCAGCAGAATTGTGTTCAGTGACAATTTCAAAGAAAATCTTTGCAGTTCTAGTTACT